ATTAATTTCCTCACTGGATTCATCATTCAGTGACTAATTCTGGTGCAGGGGTGGAAAGGGTCAAACTTTGGCTGGAAGCAGCAGAGCTGTTCCTGCCACGCAGGAGAAAAGTTGGTGCTAAAGTGAAGCTGTGACATTTGTAGCCTGGCATAATGTTCTAGAACAACACTACTGACAAACCACAGTGCTCATGTGAACACCTGGCTCAGGTTTGGTTTCAGTTCCTGTGCCACTGCAAAATAAGCCTGTACTTGATTCACCTGGAGTGTGCTGTAGGAGTGCTAGATAGAATGGTGCTAGATGAGGTTAAACTTGAGTTTAGCTCATTTGGCTTTAGGTGTTGATGCTTCTGAAACTGGCAGGTGCTAGGAAAAGAGGGAGTTAGCAGATAAAGGGAGACCAAGGCAGGCATAGGATACAGCCTTGTGTAATACAGGCTACAGAAAGGCAGGGGCTACTGAAGGATGGAGTCAGTTTGGTATGGTTAAATAATCTCCCTGGAAAATAATGAACTTTAGAAGTTGTGTACACTTCTAAACCTTGTTCATCTAACATTTACATGGATCTGATGTCATAACATGCATTAAGGACAAAGTCAGCGAAGTCTGGTTCATTCTTTTAACAAGGGCTGCAAAAGAAAAAGGAATTAAATCTGGCACAACTTATTGAGGGCAGCTGTTGAGGTGCAGATCCTTCCAGATTACTCTGGGACATCCATCAGGTGTACAGGAAGGCAGCTTGGTTGTCAGGATATCCACTCTAAGCTCAGGAAGAAAGAGGGGCAGCATAAAAATTGGAATTGGGGGTTGAGTACCCAAGAAGAACACAGGCACTTTCCAAGGGTATGCAGGGATGGAGCTAAAAAAGCCAAAGCCTTGACTAGAGCTAAACTGGAAAAGGACATGAGATATAACAAGGGATTTTGTGTAGGTATATTGCCAAAAGAAGGTAAAGCAAGGAGAATGTGTGAGAGAGAGGGTAATGAAAGAATTAAGTTCAAGAGTAACTACTTTTGACAGTATTCACTTAAGAAATTAGTCAGAACAGATCTTTTTATGGATTAAATTGCTCCATTACAGAAAGTGGGTGATAGTTGCATTCATAAGACGATATAACGAATCCTACTCTTAGTTACTTAAAAAGCAAAGTTCTCAAAGGTATTTTGAAGTGAGTTTCCAGTTTCTATTTTCCTGTCCTTCAGTAAAAAGTTGATAGCCACGTCTCAGCTGGCATTGATACTTAAAGACTTTCTAATTGAATGTTGTGTTAGCTATCCTATGTGACTTTTTGAAATAGGCTATGTAAGTTTTCTTTTATGTCGTCTTGTTTAGTAATTGCAGATTCACAGAGGCTTTTCTTTACCCATAATCAGATTTTAATAGAGGGGATTAAAGCAGATACCTGGGAACTGCTGTTTCTGATGTTTCATGGGTTGAACGGGTTTTTAATGTTACTGCATAGCTGGTGCCCTGGGTCTTTGATCTGAAAAGAAAAATGTTACTAATGTGGATTATGCCAGACTTAGCCTTAAATGGGTGACTGAGTAAACTCAATGTATTCTGGAAGGTCATTAAAGAGGTGATCATGTCCTTTTCTTTTGCATGGGCAAATTTTTGAAGCTGTGCACAAATACTTGCACCACTGTTGGTGAATTTGTGTGTCTGTTCTAGAAATTGAACATAAATCTTCTTTCAGGAGAAGCATGACCTTTGACTGAAGCTATGTTTTATTTTGAGGGTTATAGGATTCCTTGATCCTGGAGTAATTGTATCTCTTCCAAATACACCGGTTAACCTCCTTGCTGATCTGTTAGACCCTAGAAGACGGCAGAAGGAAGAAACTTCTTTGAAGAATCCTTCTGTCACTTTTGGTCTAGTGCACAGAAGATTTTATTCCTGTGGGTATAAATGAAAAATTATGCTCCATTTTGTCAGTTCATGTGGATTCTGACCATGTGCCTCTGCAGGGGATGGTGATTTTTAGTGTAAACCTTCAGCAGCTTAGTTTCAGCCCACCGTTACTTTGCCATCTCAGAGTTCTGTATTGAGAATGGTCACTGCATAAAACTGCTGATACCCAAATTCATAGCATTCATTATGGCATGTTTGGCCAGTATTATTCAAAACCACAGTAAATCTGGAAAACTTTATGTAGAGATAACATTTTTCTTTGTATCTTTACTTGTGTGCTGTTTGCTGTACCAACCTATGGCAGGGCTTGAGAGACCACTTTGTCTCATTGTGTTGGCATCAGTAACCACTCCTTCACCAGAGCTGTTCCATTTATGAGGCAGGGGATCAAGTCTTCATCTTATGCTTAAAGATTTAGTTCCAACCCTCCTGCATGGACAGGGGCACCTTCCACTAGACCCCATCCAGCCTGGCTCAGAGCAGGGGGGGTTGGGACTTGATATTTAAGGCAACTTCAGTATGTACTCCTGTACTGTGTAATGTACACATTATAAAATATATCCCAAAAATGGAAATTAAAGATTGAACTTCAGATGAAATAGACACTATTTTTACGTTTTATTAATGGTGCAATATAGATTTTCCTTTCACACCTCAGTGGATTGTCTTGCACACCTCTCTGAGTTTTCACACCTCACTTTGGAAACCACTGCTTGTCCTACAGAGAGATGCCCTTGGCAATATAAATAGATCTAAAGCCCAGAGAAAAATTATATCTGAAGAGTCCTGCAAGTATATATGTTAATGATTGCATTTGAAATAAGTGGTTTTGCCAGAGTTTGATTCCTGTGTATTAAATATATTGACTTACCTTCCCTTCCTATTTCTATATATCTTGGACTGGCAGTAGGAAAGGCCAGGTAAAGCTTTATAACATTCAGTGGTCTGTTTTACCATGGCTTTTCACACCTATGAAACAGCTGGATATTTGACTTGGTTTATTGCAGAATATAAGAGTACTTCTTTTTCTTTTTAATTTTTGTAATTTACATGATGTCTTTGTTCTGTTAATTCAGACTAAAATGTTCTGATGTTTAACTTTGAATGTTACTGATATGTGTTCTCAGTGCCAGTATTCAATACTATGTTATCTGTATTTGGGACAGCTTTATTTGCAGACCTGTTACTAGCTACTCCCCTATAAATAAGTTTTCATCATCTTTATGGGGATCTTAAAAGAGTAGGAGATCTGGTGTGGTTTTTCTTCCTTCTGAAAGCATTGTCCAGCAGGAATTTATTCCACAGCCAGCTTAGGAGAGAACAGAGGACCTTTTTTTTATTCTTTAAAAACAAAGAAAAATTACTATAGTATAAGTCAGTGAGCCAAATAATATAAGTTTAAGGAACTGAGATCTTTGCTGGACTGTCCTAATCTTGAGAAGTGGTGACTCTTAACTTTCCTTTTGACTGTGAGCTTTGTGGCTTGACTGTGTGCTGTCCCAGGACTTAGCTTGCCTGCCCTTCTCCCATGCTTCTTTTCTTACCATGTCTTGGCATGTGCCAGTCTTTACAAGGGTTGTTGTAGACTGTTTTGGGTTGGTTATGTGGCTTTCATGTGGTTGGCTTCTCAAACTTGTGCACCCAATCCCTAATGTATCAGCAAACATGAGGGGTTATGTAAATGCCAGTTGTTTTAAAATTGATGGGGAGAGTCTGTGTGCAAATAAAAGTATGGGTAGAGTTTAATGTTCAGCATAAGTATATGCTGTTTCTTTATATGCTTTCCCAGACTATTTATGTGCTATTAGCCTACTTTGATCTGGGTGATTTTTTTTTTTCTTTTTTTTTTTTGGAACTTAATTGTCAATGAAATTCAGCAAATGAGAAGCTACATCACAATACTATCTTCTACAAGGGTATATGATGAATAATTGAATATCCTATTGAGAAGAGAGGAGAATAACAAGGTCATCTTGTTATTTGACTAGTAGTGTAAAGCTCTGATTATATAGAACATCAAAAGCAGAGTAAGATTTCCTTTTGGCAATCTTCTCTTCCATTCTTAGAAGGGAAGTAATGTCTGGAAGATAAATGTCAATCCCTCTATTCTATGTACGTGCTAGAAATTTAGGACAGTAGTGAGGGAACTGCAGGGGCTCTATAGAGAAGTATGAATTGGTGCTGCAGCTGAAATTCTTCCGATTGTTTTTCTGTGAAGATACAGGGCTTGGAGTGTGATGTTAAATGTAGCCACTTCCTAAAATACTAAGATCCTTTGCACATGGGAACAAGAAGTCACTTACCACACAGCTTGTCTCTAGTTGGTTTCTAGTAACTTCTTGTCACTAATGAAGGGCAGTAAATCAGTTTATCCTTAGTTGCACAACCCAAGGTGAAGAAACAAAGCTGATTAGGTACTCAGTAAATTAAATTTTGTTTACGCCTTAAGAGGTGTCTCAATCCACTCATACAGGAGGAATTAGAGTACAACTTCCTGTGGCCTGATTTGGTTGACTCTTCAGACTTGTTTATATCATGTAGAATTGGCAAGTACTATTTATAAAGCAGTGTGGACAGTTTCATAATTGGGTTGTAAATTATGGATAGCCTGGACTCACTTGCTGGTAGTTAGGATGCTGACTTGCTTCTATGCAGCTGGTTTGTCATTATGCAAAACTTCTGTATTCATAGAAGCAGATAAAGGAACTTAACTAGATAACTATGATCCTAGCTATGGGGCAAGAGAAGACAGATGATCCAAGGGGTGCATTTCATACAAGTTCTAATGATTTTTTTTTTATTGATTTTGTTTGTTTTGTTTTTTTTTTAAATAATGAGTAACCTAGTGCACTCGGTACTTGTTACACCTGAGATGCAATATGGAACAAGAGATCGAGGTTGTCTTACAGTCATAAAAGCAGATGTGAGGGAATAAAAATTGAGTAACTTATTTTTCATTTTTCTTGGGCAGTGACTGAAGTATTTGGGTAGAGCATTCTTCAGCATGTTCAAAGGTGTTGGATTTCTTTCAAGCTCTCCCTCGTGTGTTAGCTCAAAAATTTTGCTCATTAGATTATGTTTATATTGAAGGGTGAAGATGTCAACCGGACACTTGAAGGTGGGAGGAAGCCTCTTCACTATGCAGCAGACTGCGGACAGCTTGAGATCCTGGAATTTCTGCTCTTGAAAGGAGCTGACATTAATGTATGTATTAATGTAATTGCAAACAGGTCTTAAAGTCTTCCCACACACACCAAAGGGATTGGTGTAAGTGCCTAAATAGTCACTGAAATATATAAATCAAACTAAACAATTGGATGCATTTAAGAATATTTGAGAGGCGGGATTCTAGAGGTTAGAATCTTACAAATTATGTTCATTAAATGTTTTCATTCTCTTGGGACACGCTGGAAAAAGTTGCTTGTAGCTATAAAAAGTTAAAATTTAATTTGACCGCAATTAGAAAAAATATTCCAGTAATCACATCATAAGGTTTGCAATTCATATTTACATTTATTGGAAGGGGTTTAAGAAGACATCCTCAGCCAGGGCAGGATCAGCTGTTTAAATTTTCTTCTTTTCATTCTTTCTGGTTTAAGTCATTTTGCTGTAGCTTGACCGGCATGGCTTCTTGTTTTGCAAAGACTTGACTGAGCTATATCAGCTCTCCAGAAGTTAAGCTCCTAAATACTTTAACCATACACCCCAAATGTTGTTCCTTAGTGCTTGTCCAAAAGTTAACATGGAAGACATCTTAGCTTTAGTTCATAACAAAAATACTTAGATTTTTCTCCTGGATGTCTGGAAACATTATCTCTTCCTTGGGAATTTTCCTAGCTAGGGAAGAGTTAAAAATAGCATTTCAGTTGCTCCCTTTCTTATTCTTTTCAGGGTTGTAGTTTAGAGAGAAGACAGCCAAAACAGTGTTTCATACAGAATTGTTTTATAAAGTAATGTTGCCTGTGAACTGGAGAATTAGGAGTAGCGTTTTTAAATTGGGCAAAATTGTCACCTGAAACTGCACAATTTCCATCACTGGCCTAAAATTATGGACAATTTATCTAGCTTTGGGATACCTAGAAGTCTTGTGGAAGAAATATCTTGCTACTACCTATTTTTTAAATGAAAACTTTTAAAAAAGTGAGAAAAAATCCCGTAGAATGTATTTCTGGCTAATATTCTTAAATTTTTGCTTCCTCTGCCGTTGATTAAAGATAATTAAAAAGTTGTGTGAAACCCTATAATGCTGTGTGAAATTGTCCTTCAAGTAATTGTGTCTCAACTTACAGGCTCCAGACAAACACAATATCACACCACTCCTATCAGCAGTCTATGAGGGCCACGTTTCCTGTGTGAAATTGCTTCTGTCAAAGGTAAGATAGGAGTGTTTTGAACAAGTCATCCATTAGCAAAGCATATTACTGTGATTTTTTTTTCAGTAAGATTATGATGCTCTAGATCATATGTTCAGAACATCAAATAAATGCTATTTATGTTGCTAAAACAGAGAGGGTACTCTGATCGTGGTGCAAGACAGCTGAAAGACAAAGTTGCAGGACTTCTGTGCTGCAGCAAAAGTAACAGTGGCCATAAGACTATTGTGTGTTCTAGCTAGAGAGCAGAACTGCTTATCAGTAAGGGGGAAAAAAAAATGCATTCCTTCAGTGGATTTGGCTTTGGCAGCTGTTCAAGTGTTTCATGTGATGGAATCTCTGCTGTGAAGTTGCTCAGAGGTGTGGTTTCCCTCAACTTTTGCCAGATGACTGAGAACCCATCTGAGTTGGCAGAGGGAGAGGAAATAAAAGTAGGAAGCCAAGCTTTCCCTGTCCTATAGCTTTGTAAATTTTGTCCTGGGGAGAATAAATTTAATCTGACTCTGTTTGCACTTTGATTTATATTACAAAGGTGATCAGTTTTACAAATCCAGTAGTTAATTCAAGCTATCTTTTGTCTCCATTGATATGCACTTCTACTTGATTACATTTACATCGTTTGTCCAAAGGATTTCTTGCTGTGTAATACTTTCATATGCCACTTCCAGGGTAAAGTTTTCCTTAACTGCTTTAATGCTGCATGAATTTCACTTAACTTCTTTGATCTTGTCTGATATTACTTATGCATTTTTGCAAGCAAATGCAGTGACTTGTGGTTTAGAATTCAAATGGTGTATACTTGCTTAAGTTTATTGTAAGAATTGATCCTTCATTTAGGATCATCAAAAAATGAGGTATCCTTTATCCCATGTTGATTTATTTCTATTTCTGGTTTGGATGTTTTTTCCATCTTAGGTAAGTTATGTAATAAATATAAAATAATATATTATGTATATGTAATACCTATATATATAATAAATATATGGTAGGTCAAATAATAAATTACTTTTGTATTTCTTCATGCAGAGTTAAATGTTGGTTGTTTCCATTTACATGGGCTAGCTGATGAAATGTTTATAAACTGGAAGTTGGCTTATCAGCTCTGTTTGAGGCAGGGCTTATATGCAGTGGTTGTTCTGTCTTCTAACACAGTTATTTTATGGCCCTTGTTTAAACATTAGTTTAAACATGTCACACCATGTTTGTGCCATAGTCATATGTTCTTTGGTAGCAGATAGCTGGGAATCCAGATTCAGCCCTTACTGAAATATCTAAAAATTCCTGACTGTTCAATGTTCTTCCCAGTTACTAAGCAAACGTTCTCCATTGCTTTTTATGCATCTCCCCTGCTGTGGGGATGTTTGTAAACCTTTTATGTAAGACTCGAGTGAGGGAAGAGAAGGAGGAATATTTCAAGAAATGTTTCAAACATTGAACCATGTTTTTCTTTAATAATCTGGTATTTGGTTTGTAATGTAAAAAGTTGTGGTTTTTTAGTTTCAGAGAAACCAAGGTGTTAAAATAGACAATTAGCAGTTTGAAAGCTTCAAATGGAGGGCGAGAGTTGTTGCATAGGATGCAACAAACTTCATCCATTTGTTCAACTTCCAAAACAGTTCTGCTTTTGTGTTACAAGAAATACCCTGTTAAGCTGGGCACCTTTTTTCTTCTGAGTGTGGCAAAAAGAAGAGCTGTGAGTATGACATCTATTCACTCTTTCCCCTCATTCTTGGTTGCTGTACTGGGGATTTCAGAGGTGCGCACGTCTGTCCCTCGTTCAGAAGTGCTGGCAGATCTGTTGCCCATGAATTCATCCGTGTACTTTTTGTACAAGAAGACATCTGCCTCTGTTATGTCACCTGGCAACTCTTTTTTTAGCAGTTTGCTGTGTAAGCAAACTTCTCCCAGCTTCATTGAGCACCCCCAGTTCTGGTTTCGCAGTTTGATGGGGGCTCAGCTCCCATCATGGGTGTTTGTTGCTTTGGGTTTTTTCCAGAACTGCAGCTGGAGCAAAGTAGTTCCTGTGTGGCTCTCAGAGTTTGCATGGTGGCTTAAGTGGGCAAACATTCTTGTTTGTTATTACCCTGCAAAGGGGAGAGAGGGTTTATATTTGTGTATGTGTCTTTTCAGAGTAGAACATAATACAAATATTAGTAACTTTTTACTTTAGGGAAGTAGAGAATACTGTGGAATCGTTGTACTTTTATGAGTTTTTTTATTAAAGTTGCTTCCAGGCAGTGTTGTACTTCTGCAAATTAAAGTCCTCTTGATCTGACCTTTATTGTTTCCTTCTTTTTTTATTGAATGTAGGCAGGAATCTTTCTGTCTAGCTAATGGGCCATTTTCTAAATTTATTGGTACTGAGTTTAATAAATGGTGTCCTCCTTAGGTAGTTATGACCCTCTTATCTACATTCAGTAAAGCTGTTTTAGAAACCCAGGCCTTGCATGTCAATAGCTTTACTGAAGTATTTTTCTGAGGGGGGAGAGCAGTCCTGTGTTAAAATTAAAACCTTTCTTTATACTTAAAAGGTACCTCAGTTAACTGTTATCTTTGGTACCCTAAATGCTGGTGCATTGGCAAACAGCTTTGTGAATTGAAGTTCTTTCTAAATTGTCAGATCAGTTACTGCATAGTTCCGTTTTTCTTCAAGATTTTCTGAGCTTAATATCAAGGAACAGCTTTGAAGCTTTCTTGATTTCAACATAGACTAATCTGAGTGCTATCCAAGCAGTAAAAATAATCAACATCTGCAGAAGGAGTTATTTGTACTCCTAGTTGCCTTTCTTTTCCCTGGACAACTAAGACTGTAAATGCTGAATACCTGCTAAATCTCTCGGGGGTATTTTTAGGGGGGAAATAAATGTTCTACAAGCAATGTTCCCATGCTTTGAGCACAAGTGTGTGTTTTCAGTAACCAAATTGTCACTTGTTGGGAACAGGCTAATTTAGCTCATGTTCATATCCCAAAGAACTGCAACATCCTTGGGCCAAGGATATTACACAGTGATAGGAGAGAGAAAATACTACAATTGTCACTGGACTGAACTCAATGCATCTCTTGCACTGAGAGTCTCTAGGGGGCCACAAGGAAGGTGAGTAGCTCCAAGAGGATCAGTTTGGTCAGTGGACCTCAAGACTGGCAGTACTGTGTTAAAAACCACTGTAAACCATCTTTTTTGAGTGACAGGTTGAGTACGTGCAAGTAAAGAGTGTTCAGGTTTCAGAGGGAAATATCCTACACTGTGAAAAGTAGTATTGGTGGCACATGGCAGTGGTATCAGATCCAGTTTATTACAAAAGTTTAAGGAAGTGAGAGTTGTCTCAGGAACAGACATGGTATTACATTTGGAAGTTCAGTGCTTTGTGTGTTTAATCAGTAAAGAAGCTATGGAAATTCTAGGTCCATTATGTTCTTAAACTGTTCAGTCTCCTTAATAGTAACTCACAATCTTCCTTGTAATTGAGAAGGGATTTGTACTTATTCTGTGGAGGGCTTATGCATAAACCGAAGACAACCTTCAGCTGTGCACACTTTTGACAAAATGTGTTTGGACCCAAAGTGTTTTTCCTCTCATTTGATACAGCAAACGCACATATTTTCAATCGAGATTTGCCTATCGTCTTGCAGAGTTGTTCTGAAATAAGTCCTGTGATCTCTAATAACTTTTGTCCCCTTATTTAGCTGCACTATTTCCAGCTTAGTCTGTGTTTTCCCTTTCATGAATATGATTACACAGTGCTCAAAGCAAACATGACTTGTTAATCACTGTTTCCCTTCTTTTGTTCTCCTCCTATAAATCTGGCACTGTGCTTGTGCTTACTTGAAGCAGTTTATTCTAATTATTTGATTTATCCAGTTGGTGCATTATCCTTCATTTTCCTGTTGCCTCCCTGTTCTGTTTTGTTGCCTTTTAGGTGTGCTCATAACTTTCAAAACAAACCTGAGCAGTTTTGGACTTGGAATGATTCTGTGGTGCTTTTCTGATGTATCAATAGAGACTTTTTTTTCAGAATGGAAAAGAAGCACAGTCCTTATTGAGTGCTGCCATTTTATGATATAGAATGGATATAGTATGATTTTTTAGTAAATCAGCTCTTCCAGGTATTATCTGTCTAATTTAGCACGTGAGAGCTTCTTGCACCATAGAATTTGTAGAAGTGTGTAACATTGAATTTTTGCTTCTGTAAGAGTAGTAGTTGCTGGAAGCAAAAAATCCATCTGTTTCTAAGATTAACACTGATAATTTGTTGGACTTACAACTTGCTGTGTAGCGAAAATACGTGGCTTTTTTCCTTATTTTTAAATGACGAAGCTGGAAACTCAGATTAGCTGCATGCTGAAAAGTTCTGTATGTAAATCTTGTCTGGTTGGTTTCTGAATGAAAACAAGGCACTGCACTAAAAAGCTGTATGTAATCAATATAATTATGCAAGGTATGTGAATTTTGACGCACTTTGTACTGGATGCAGCCTGGCTTTATGAATTGACAGTCCTTCTCATTGTCTTTCCAGGGTGCTGACAAGACTGTGAAAGGCCCAGACGGACTAACTGCCTTTGAAGCCACTGACAACCAGGCAATCAAGACTCTTCTTCAGTGACGGATGGACTGATACCTTAAATGTCTCTCCTGTGGCCTCACACTGCTGCCTGTCTGTCACTCTTTGCATCTTCCAGCTTCTTCAGCTAAATACTTTGGGGGGAGGGAAATTCTTTGAGTCAGACTAGTTAGGGGCTTGTATCAGAGATAATCTGGTTGGAGAGGGTTGAAAATTATTATGAACAGTGTCCCTCTAGGACTTCTTTCCAGTGCACAATCTCTTCCCATTTCTAGTGAAAATGGAAGGAGGAAGACAGACCATGCTGAATTTTTGGCTTGTAAGCCTCCTAGATTAGTACTAAGATTTTTTAGATAGATGAAAGTACTTCCTTTAGATGGAAGTACTGTGCTATGTACCTGAAATTAATTGTGAAGGAGACAGTAGTCCCATGCTCATAGTGTCTGCCATAATCTGAAGTGTAGTAATGTAGGTGGCTGGGTTGCTCTTCTCTCTCCTCTCTCTGTGGGTAGCTTTATTCTTCTTCTGCCTGAAGCTTCTGTTGCAGTTTTGAGGACTTTTGATACTAGTTATTGGAGCTGTTCTTTATATTGACTAATTGGATGTCACACTAATGTTTTCTGATTCTTGAGCAAACCGAGAAAGACTGGTTGAGGCATGGTGGTGTTACACTCCATAATATCTGCCAAGGTACTTCTGGGTGCTTGAATTTGAAGTCTTTCTATCCCATATTTGTTCTGGTCCAGGACAGGCATTTTAAGTAATTGGTTTTGAGACAGAGGTCAAAATTTCACTGTAGTTTTTTTCCAAAAGGAATGTAAGATGAAATTTCTTGACTCACCACATCAGCATAAAATTCCTAGACACGGGTGGAAGCTCCAGGCTGTTTAGTACACAAGGATAATCAAGGCAAATGTGGAAAATGAACAGTAGTTATTTAGATATTCATATCAGGTGAACATCGTTGCTAAACTTTCCTGGTAAACATGGAACCTTTTTAAGTTCAGATGTAGAAGCAGGAAGATGTACAAGCAGAAGTCTTAACTTGCTCGAACTACTACAGAATTTTTTAATTGTGCATATCTTCAAATCAGTGTTTCATTGTCAAATGGATGAACCTCTTAAATTCCATTAAGGCATGGGGCTTGTTCTGGAAGTTGCCAGTGTGACCATACCACATTAACCATTGACTTTTAGATAAGATTTACAATCCCAGTAAGTATGACAGTCTTGATCATTCATGGGACGGTGTTTAATGATGTTCTAGGCACTCCCATCACATCTTGTGGTCCTCAGGAATGTCTGAGCTTCTGACTTTCATCCTGAAAATTTTCATTAGACTCTTGGTTCACCTAAAACTGAGTAACAGGTTCTATACCACAAACTATACATCTTCCTCTCTTTTGGAGTACTGATTTCAAACTTTCTGGTGACAAAGGCAATACAGCAAAACAAATGTATATAACGTCTCATGCTGAATTCTTAAACAAAAGTAGCTGATTATTTTGATATCACTGTTGAAACTGAGAGGATATATAGAAGTAGACTGGTGACTACCACTTGTATTTAATGGAGATTTAGTTTTACTTGAATAATGTTGCATATTAGGATTGAATGTCTCGGCTATGAAAAGCATTGCATTTAGACTGTAAAATGAGAGCAGGAACCAATTTACATCTTCACCTACCATAAGAAAAGCAATGGAGAAAACAATCAACTCTGGCCATAAACTGTACAGAGCAATTACTCTTTTTCCTGGAGATGGGTGGCAAGGAATAGCAGAAGGGTTGGAAATCAGTGATAAATCAATTGGTGAACTGCTGATAAAAGAACAAGAATATTTGGTGAAGAGTGCTTTTAATAACTATTTATAAGAGGACTCTTTAATCTTATCTCTGATCAGTGCTGGATTGTCATGTCATTGTAATAGTGTGAACACAGACTATAGGTTTAACTCTTTATTCAGCTATGAAAGTAACAATCTTTGGCATCAGTTTGCCTCCATATTATGCTGTTAAATACTTAGCTATTCAGATACTAGTCTAGAAAACTGCAAAAGCTGTTTTTACGTGGAGAACTTGATTATTCAAGTTTTTTGTGTTGACTAGTGTCAAGTTGTCTGGCCAATAGCGGTTTTGTATTTTTGTTGGGTTTTTTTTTCTTCTGTATTCTTTCCTGCCCTTCCCTTTAACTCTCATTTAAGTGAGCAAAGAAACATCATCTTTGTACTAACTCTTCTGGAGATTCACTGAGGCAATTTTGCCTCCCTTTTTCTACAATTATGGGGACACCTTATTTTTTCTTACTTCACCCTGTTGGGGGAAAAAAGAAGCAAACAGACTTCAGTGAGTCAAGTGTTAATTTGGCTGTAATATATACCCAAGCTGCCTTTTGAGATAGTTAAAAAAGATGGCATTTAATGTTTGGCTTATAAAGAAGAAATACTTTTCTGCTTTTTGCACTACATAACAGATGTTTAATCATTTTGCCCAGGATTTAAAAGAAGAAGAAAAAAAAAAAAGGTAAAAATAAAAGCTTATGCATTTGTAATTGCCTAGAGACTGGGCTTGTTCATTTGTTTCTTTCTTGTTAGCTATTTTGTGCAAAAAATAATGGGTGGCTTCCTCTATCTTTGAGTAGGTCCTAACTAGATAAAAATACCAAACTGTAAATTATTTTTCATTCTATAAACAGAATTTGAATACTTTGTCAGACTGGAATTGCATATACTTGGAAATCCACTCTGTTCTTAAACCTTTTCCTTTGAAATTTGTGCTGAATAAGTTATAAACTTAAGTATGTTTTGGATTTTGTACCCTCTGCTCCCTTTTTCTTACAGGGAGCAAATGAGAAAAGGAGTACAATAGCTAAATGGAACTGAACATAACATTGATTATTTGTAGAAGAGGCTGGCAAGAATAGAGTGTCCTAGGTCAAGCAATTGCAGTGTTGCATGCAAAATTTCAAAATGAACTTGTCTTAATTATATTTTGTAAATGGATAAACAATCATCTTTCTACGCAGTGACAGAAGAAAAATTAGTGCTCTGTGCATTTTGATATTTGACTTTCTCTTTTCACCGTTGTTAACTGTTTTGACACAGTTGGGTTCATCATTATCATGGTTCATAGGCATCAGAATGCTAAATGATACTGTATTTTTAAGTTTGTGTTGCAAGAATGAATGGAATAAACTTGAATTGTGCTATATGAGAATTTGGAGTTTCATTTCCCTTTCTTGCTGCCATGTTTTATTAACCTCAGGCTACAACTTTTTATTTGCCTGGAAAGCATCTGAGTTCCAGCTCACATGTACAGTGATTAAAGTGTTTAGCTGCTTATAAGACTGAAACGTGGAATGGAAGCTGCTTTGAAAACTAAATATATAACGTTCTTTGTGGTTGTTTTAGGGGGTTTTAAAATACATCCATTTAAAGGGGGTTTTGATTATTTTTGTGGTCTTGTAGTCTACTCTTCCTGCTTTAATGGTAATTCATGAAGATCTTCTATTCATGTTATATTCTAAGAGACAATCTGTAGAGAGAGGAATGTTTCTCCTATTACCTCTGAAGACTGAAGCAATTTGCTTTTTCCTTTACTTCATCAAAGAAACTGAAAACAGTTATTAACAAAAATTGCAGCTGAAGTATAAATAAAATTATATAGAAATGTTTATTCATTATTCTTGTGACATCTTTACAGTGACTTTGTCAGAACTTCCTTTTATAACTTTGCTTGTCAGTAGAGATTTGAATCTAATTGCCTGAAGCGTTTGATATGATTTATTTTAAAATAGACCCTTGAAAAGTACAGGAAGATGTGTCAAAGTAGAAGAACTATAAATATCAAAAAAAAAAAGATTCAAAATAAATTAAATTTTCCTGGTTTTCTCTGCTAAACTTTGAAAAGTTTACAGAACTTCTCTTGCTGTATGCACAACCTTTCAGTCTTTCAGGCACAACTGGAGAGAGTAGGTGTATGTTCATTCTAAATGCCAAAGCAGTTCCAATGGTGTAATGGCCAGTGGCAACTGATGTATGTGGGCTTCAGTTCCTGTGTTCATATTACTGATTCTTGGTTTTGTATTTTTGGTGTGATTTGGGGGTTTTTTTAAATGGGCAGTTTTTTTATGGGAGGAGGTATTCTCAGTTCAAAATACAGATTTCTTTCACTCACATTCCTCAGTGACTGGCAAACCAAATTCATCTATGCAGGTAAGGAGTCTCTAATATTTATGTATCTTTTGAAAGAGAGTGGTTTGCCAGGTCCATTCCAAAAGGATGTTGGCCCAAATAAAGAATTTTTTCAATTGCACCTCTTGATTATTTCTCTCAGTTTGGAGGAAACTATACTCTCAGAGCTCTCCTCAAAATATTTTTGTTTTACTCATGATATCTGGGAACAGTTTACAACTCTAAGCTATGCCAAACTTCTTAGATGAGTGTTTGAAAAGCACTTGTTTTCACGCAGTGCCTTCAGAGTCTTCAAACCCATGCAATTTTTGTCTGCTTGGGAAGTGAATGAACATTTTTTCTCAGGATCAGGGCTCTTCTCTCCCCACCTTAGCCATCAAAACAGTGTTTTTGAATTTTAAACTTGGACGTGTTGCATTTAAATACCATTGCTTGCTATTGTGATCTAATGTTGTTTCAGAGAGCACATCTTTTAAATTAAATTAATTAATTAAATTAATAATAAAATTATTTAAATTATTTTAAATATAAATCCCTGGAGTCTCTTGAGTCTTCACTCTTGAAGTGGTGTTTGGAGAGCACCTGGGTGCACCTCTCTATTCTCCCACATCCTGAATGTCTCTGGGTTGGGTGCACTGCAGGCTGCCACAGAACACAGGATTCTTCTGTGCTTTTCAGTCAGTTTTGTTTACTGCATCATTTTGGAACATTTCAAAATGAAGAATAGAGGCTTTCATGCACTGAGGTTCATCTCGTGGCCATTCAAGTTAAGAGGCAGGACAGTGTGCCAAAACCACAACAGACTGCATGTCTCAGTCCATTTATCAAAATACATTCAAGGAAAATTGTCTCAAGCTGAACATAGATTTGAAGGGTCCAAAACTCAGTCTCAAAAATAGTTTCTTGGCAAATGAACTAAATTTTGGTGCTTATATTAAGTAATTTACCTCTGAAACCTTTCTATGTGTTTCTTATTATTTTTCCTCTACATTAAAGTAATTCCTCATTTAGAAGAACATTCAGTTGGTTGTCTCCAAATAAGATCTAGTTTGGATTCATGTTTTAACTCTGTGTTGTCTGAAAAGTATTTGGAGGTGGGAAGTCTTGAAGAGTATGTAACTCTTCACAGAAGTTAAATTACACTTCCTCTCGCCTTTTGAAATACACTTTTAATTAAGATTTGTAGCCTTTTATTTGAATAGCAGCATCTTGTGACCATGTCCAGCCACCTTTTTTTTTCTTTTATTATTCTTTTTATTTATTCTTGTATTTTTTACAATGGAAAGCAAACAGATCTGTTTGATTGCCACACAATATCTTGGTTGGTTGGTTGGTTATTGGCAACGTTTCAGTGCAGCCACCAAACCAGATCTATGGCAAATAAATTTTGATTTTACATTCCAGAAGTCTTTCCCAAAGTTTATTCTTGTTACTTATAAATATTTTGGTGGGCTTTGTCCTGCAACACTACTTTCGAAGGGTTTTTTTCATCTTTCTTTTGCATAAAGCAATAACTTTACCTTTTACAATAGAAATTTATCTTCTTCGATATTTTGGCAAAAAGAAAAAAAAGTTTAGCATGTATTTGTGTGTGTCTGTTCTATAAGAACATTGTGCTGAAGGATACCTCACATCTACACTTTTGGCAAATTACTGTGGAATGCCAGTGGAGCACCTCATACCAATATCTACATGTAGGTAATTCTGGAACAGTTTTTGAGATACTGGTGAGATGCCACTAGAACTGGGATCAGTACAACAGCAGCAGACTTTTATTTTTTCTTTGTTGTGACTATGCATAAACTTCTCTGCACGTCACTTATCAACTTCTTCGCTTTTGTCCACTAGAGATGCAAGCTGATGGAGGATTATCTCTCAGGTCTTGATGCACCTTAAGGAGTTTATTAGTACAACTTGCAGTCAATGTCAGTAATGTTCTCAGAAGCACAGAAGAGCACATTTAGAGAGAGAGATGAGACAGATAGAGGAAGCACACACAACTTTCTAGTGTCAGAGACTTCAAACATAAGAACAAGACCTAAAATTATAAATTAAGGAAATTGCTGAAGATAGCTATACATTCAAATATTTGCAAAGCCGTATTAAACAGTAACTTGAAAGAAAATAGATCCAGCCTACAGCAACGAGGCTGCATAACCTGTACATCTAATCAGGAGGTGCTTCTGAGGCTGTCTACTCGCTATAAAGAGCTGAATATATATTGGCCATTCTTTCTTTAGGCTTTAAGAAAAAAATAAGTAACTGGCAGTTACTTAACAGATAGTTAGTTGCTTTGGGGAAAAAAGAATTCCCTTGTTCCTAATTTACAGAGCTCAGAGGCTGAGATTGTACATCTCTCTCAACCTCACATCTACCAGTAACACAATTTCAGAGAGTGAAGTGTGCTATAAATTACCACCCAAACATCCCTGAATGGTTTCAAAACATCACGTTCTGTCAACAGCAATTGTTCTCCATGTGCCAGAGCTGGCCTGTGACACCTTTTACCTGCCCCTCCTGAATGCACAGCTTCCAAAAGCTGTGCTTTACCCCTGCCACAGTTTTCCCTTTTTATCAGGTACCTTGAGAGTAGGTGGAGAGCTTTTAGTAGATGTTTTTAGAAAAGAATTCCATATTAGGCTATCTGTCATGTATAACAGGAAAGAACGAAAACCACAGGAGGAAGGACTAGGAGAAATTAAGTAAATTAAAGGTTTTCTCCATCTTACCTCCTTTCTCCTACAGGCATATTCTTTAAATCTTATAGTAGTTTGTACCTTTTTTAAAGGATCAGATGCTTTATTTCCTTACTGCTTTTTTTTTTTTCCACATTTTGGGGCTCGGTAATTGCATGTTTGGAATATCATAATTTACTTTCTCCTTGTTTGTTTCTTTGGGGGGGTTTGGTTTTGTTTTGGGATTTCTTTTCCTGAAAGCTTCTAGCAGATAAAGTGGTTGCAAAATACTGTAATGTCAGTGGTGCCATGGAGATCCTTGGTGCTACCCTGAAGTAAGGTGGATGTGACAGAAGTGGTTTAACTTACCTGTTGTTAGAGTTCTTGAGGCCCTTTTGACTGCCTCTCTCCTAATTTCTAGTGAAAGGTGTCCCTGCCCATGGCAGGGGGTTGGAAGATCTCGAAGGTCCCTTCCAACCCATGTTGTTCTATGGCAATGCAACAGGTTGCTAAGAATAATGTAAATTACTGTATTTTGTTTCAACCTTTGCAGCAAGATAATTTTCTGAAACCTGCAAGGTACTGAATTTCTCATACTGAGCTGCTGATGGTTCCTACATCATACTGCTGGCAGAAATAGAAGACATCCCATGTTGCTATCCTGCAGGTCTTCATGCTGTAGTTGGCCTTGTGATTCCTAATGTCCATGTTAGTTGTGATAACAGCATAATTCAGAATACATCTGGGCAAGTGCACACCTCAAAGATTAGGCGTTTTTGGTAGAAGGATGACTCGGAAACAGACATTTTTGATTAAAGATCAGGATTTAAAAGACCATCTGCAGTGCAGAAGAATAAAAAGACAAACATAGGAGCCCAAGAGGAGCTGGAATTGGACTTTGCAGGATTTTAAAATACTGCACCAATGAACAAGTCAGGCAAGTGAAGGATAAAAAATAAGATCCCATAGTGACTGAGTAGTTTTTCACAGAGCAGTTTCTATTTCAGGCTGATCTCTTCACAGTTTCTATTGGAGACTAAATGCTTCTCAGTAACAATTATAAGCCAAGTTTATAAAAATCTGAGCTGTGGACTAGGGGGTTGGAGGGCAGTACACGTTGAGGTAAGGCAAAGAAAGGTGTGTTGCATTCAGGTTTTGTGTTCTATAAACTCCATTTCCCTGAGCACCTGGTAATTTAATGAAAAAGATATTTTTTGTGCATCTGTGGGATACAATCTAATTAATTAAAATTGTTGGGTTTTGTTACAAATGTTTGGAGTTTAAGTGTTTGGTAATACTCGTGTGTGTTCATGCTGAACATGTGTTTTATTGCCTTCCTGCTTCAAAA